GATGACAGATATCATGACATGGTCTGTTCAGGTGTATTAAACGTACAGAGAAATCACAGCTGCAAGGCAAGGCTTGCAGAACTCAGCTGCACAGCTAGGGACCCAGTAAGTCCTTTATCAAATCCTATCTCTTAAAATGCCCCATGTCAGCTAGTAATTTCAAAAAAGACCTAATGGGTATACAGGTCTATTTTTTTTTGTTCATTTTCTTTTCCTTTTTTTAAAAAAAAAAAAAATCTCCATCCTGAGATTTTTGAAAAGGTCAGGGAATTCCTCTGAAATCAAGTCCTCAGCAACATAAAGTGAGCACCAACAGAGCATTTTTATTTTAGTATCAGCCCAGCATCCTCCCAAAGGTACAGGGAGTATCTTCAAGGTGCAGTTTCAACTCCTTTGGTCCTTTGCCTGCCTTCTCCTTCCATATCAGCAAAGAACAAAAAGGAGACGGAAAAAAAAAGTAGCAAATTGCAACGTCACATTGGTATCTCATTTTAAAAACAAAATGAGCGGTGCAAAGCCATTAAAGTAAATCACTCCACTTACTGAATTATTTTTAAATACTTCTGCAGGCCAAGATTAAAAATTAAATATATATTTTACTGCTGCTGTGTTGTCAATTCTTAACATATTATCAGTAGCCTAATTTTAAAAAATATAAATCAAGCTCCAGAATCAGGCAGTTACATGGAAACTCGAGCTCCACTTTAAAACACAGGTATATGCCCTTTTGGCCTTACAGCTGTCACCAAAAAAAAAAAAAAAAAAAAAAAAAAGAAAAAAAGGCAAAATAAAATCTGGCCAGTGAGGTTCACAGCACTGAAAAAAAATAGGAGAAAAAGGAAAAAAAAAAAAACCAAACAAAAATAGCCACTCTATTTTTCATTCTGAATCTTGTCAAATTAAGCAAGTCCATTTCAGAGGTGCCTGGAATGTGATTTTTAAATATTTATGATTGACGGTTTCAGCAAGTTCCTGCAGCATCTTCTTTATAATAAAAATAAGTATTATGGGAAAAATGAGCATTCTGGGGAACATCTGCCTGCTGCCTTCAGCCGCAGGAGCCCTTGCACCAGTGAGCAAGCAGAGCCCCGTCCCTGCAAACTCTGCGTGCACCGGAGGAACTTTAGTCCCACAATCTGCTGCGCAGAGATTTTTCTCTTCATTAAAGATAGGATTTGAGTCCAAACTCTGATTTTTTTTTTCCTATTGTTGAGTTTCTCTCACCAATCTCAACATAAGTTTTACTTTTTTCCTTGAGGTTATCAATAATTACTGAGAAGCTCAAGTCCATGGATTTAGTAGGGTGCTAAATGCAAACAAAAGAAATGTTTATTTTCAGTAAGAACACACTGAAGTAGTAGAAGCCCTAAATTCAACTGCTTTCTACTAACACAGGTAAAAAAAAAATTAAAAAAACAAAAAAAAAAAAAATAAAACAAATGAAAATATGGGAAAAAAGCAAACAAAAAGAACATCATCAACTCCTTGCCCAAAACAATAAAAGACTTATGTTATGTGAACTACGGAAAGCAGCAAAAATACTTCTTTTTTTAAAAAAACAAAACCAAAAACAAAATACAAAAACCCACAAGATTTTGCACTGGAATAATGTCTTAGTGAAACTGGGAGGAATTTAAAGAAGGGATAAATAGGTAGGTAATTTTATTTAAAGCAAATACTACATGCTGATTCACTGCCTCTCGAGCCTTTCTGGCTGTAGCTATATTTTCCAAAGCTGTTATTCTCTGTGGCACACAATTGCAGCAAGCCCATGGCTAGCAGAAACCAAAGTCCTGACGTTTTCTACCCCGCTGTGACCCTGCCAGCTAAAGGCCACGTCCTGGCCTGTGAATAAAGCACAGCACTCATTTCTGCTCCAGACCCCGCTGCGCTCCCTCTGCAGCACGGGGAGCGGTGACAGCCCCGCACCTGCCCGGGCACAGCCCTCCGCACAAAACATTTTCCCCCCTAAACCAAACCCTGACGATATTACGCTTTTTTTCCGGCCCACGGAGCAGCTTCTGCCTGAACCCCGGAGACGGAGCCGCTGGAAGCCAGGTAGGGCACAGCCTCCTCAAAAGCTTCGGGCTCTCTGCCCAGCCCCTTGCTCTGCCACGCCAAGCGCCCAAAAAAACCCGCCTAAGAGCCATTTTGAGTCTGCGGGACTGCCACAGGCCCCAGCCAGGATTATATGACGCTCTGAAAAAGGACAAAAACGTGGGAATAGCCCTATTCTGCACATATCCTTTACGCTCCTTGGCGTCCCCAGCCTCTCCCCAGCGGCAGGACCACCGGTGACTTTTCCCCTCGCCGAGTTTCCCGGCTGCCCCAGGTCAGGCTGCCTCCCCCAGCGCGCACAGGACGAACCCCCAACCTCCCTCAAAAGGAATTTCACGTATCACCCATTCAACCATTTCAAAGTCGAGCTTTGGCAATTTCAAAGCTGCCACTATTGAACAAGTTGCCAAAACAAAATCATTCAGCTAAACTCTTTTTTTTTTTTTTTTGCCCCCAGCCCTTTTTATTAAAGATTCTTTTCACACAGACATTTGAAATGGAGAAACATTACTGAAGCGTCAGCTAAAAGAAAACCTAAGCAGCACACAACCTTCTTTACTAAGAATAAAAATTAGCATCTTCATATTAAAATACATCTGCGCCTCCTTATACAACTGCCTCCCCCGGTTTCTGCAGAGGGTTTTTCCACGGCTAGTGTAGAACAGATGTCTGTAAAGCCATCCTAAACCATCTCCTATCAAGTCTGCAGGGCAGGTCCTTGCTCTGCCATTCTCACTCGCCAGCATAAGCTCTTACACAAGCATTTTTACTGCCTGCAGTTTTGTTCAGGTGAGCAGGCACTTGCAAGACACATATTATATTTTTCACCCATGCAAACAGCACAGCGAGGTTAACCAAATGTCTTAGTTCAGGGGATGTACAGATTGGTCAGTAGGAAACAAATTATTTCCTTCTGCACACTCCACAATAAAATTAGATTTCTGCAAAGAATTTAAGCCTTCCTCTAGAGTTTTACCTCTCCAAAACAAGAGTGCATCTTTGCAGAGGTATTTTCCATATAGTTTGAGCATACCAACAGCATAAATAACAGAGGTGGTTTATCAGTCACGAAAGTTAGGCTCAGCTAAAAGAGCTGGTATTAGTGTGTGGTGCTTTTAATCTGGGAATATTATATTATTAAAAAAAAAAAAAAAGGCATACACACTATACTACACCCCCTCCACTGCTCTGGAGCTTTACAGCCGACAGAGTTACTATAGGAACTTAATTCCTGGTGCCGTAGTGCCGAGACACTTGAACACAACCTGATCAAATGCCTTTAGGACTCTGCCTTTCCACTGTGTGCAACCACTAGCTGCTAATGGCACGCACAAAGCTCAAAAAAAAAAAAATAAATATTATTTTCATAGGATTACACCAGACACAGAGACAGATATGCAAAAACAATGACACCAAAGGAATCCAAATATTCATGGCTCATAAAGCGTGGTGGAGAAGAAACGGCTCCAGCTCATCGCCTGCCTCTGCTTAGATTCTTTATAGCACAATGAATCAACATTACCCCTTTTAGAAAACCATCCCGAGTTCTGTTCATCTGGGGACAAACCCACCTAATCCCGCTCATCCAAGCAAGCACAGCAACTTCGAGGGAGCTGCCAGCCTGGGAGAGGACGGCAGAATACGGCCCCTATTTTGGGAACAGTCCCCGGACTCTTCTGGGGTGCGACGCAGACCCGTTCTTAATGCCACACTAAAAGCTGAGAGCTACCACGGCACCTGCTCTGCCCGCGCCCGCCTGCCCCGGCCGGCCCTGCGGCGCTTTCGCCCGCGCCGTGAGCGCGGGGAATGCCCGCCGGTCCCGGCTGCCAGGCCCTGGCATTGAAAAATCACCACCTGCCTCACCCCGCCTCGCAAAACCCGCCTGAGAAATCGGGGGGGGGGGGGGGGGGAGAAAACTGATATTTTTTTTTTTTCCTCTAGGACTCTCCGCATCTCCCTGCAACGAGCAAGGGGTGAGGAACAGAGCGGTTGTTTTGGCTTCTTTTTGCCTTCCTTCTATCTCCGTGAGAGCTGAGGGCTCGGCAGCGGGGTGAGACAGCCCTTCCCTGGCCTTCACCCCCGAGATCTCAGCCTGGGGGTGCAGGGGCACCGCACGGACAGCGTGCTGTGCCGGGGGGGGGGGGGGGGGGGAGTGGGGGGCACATCCCTCCTGCCCCACCTCACCGTGTTGGTGCTGAACGCCGTGCTTTGCAAACATTTCACAGCCAAGCAGGTTCCCAGCCCTTTTTACACCCATCCCAAACCCAATCCTCCATCCCAAGCTATACACATCCCCCCTGCTCCCAGCTGCCCCTGCCCCATCCATGCCCCATTTGGGGGGGGGGCATTCAGAGAGGCTGGGGGGGGGGGCCCTGTCCTCAGTGGGGTGCAGGCAACCAGGCAACAGTTTGCTCCCCCCCTTCCCCATACTAGGTGCAAGCCCTGGCTGGAATGGGGGGGGCCCCAGAGTGGGCGACCGGCTGGCAATCCCGGGGAAGCCAAATGCTCCAGGATGCTGGGATTATATCCTAGTAATAAAAATGTCTGGGGCTGTGCTGCCAGCCCAAAGAAGCAACTGAAGGGGGGGGGGGGGGGGGGCGGTTGGGGGGGGCAGGTGGGGGGGTGCTGATACACCAACCCGTTCCGAGGGCCCCGGGGAGCAGCCGGGACCGGGCAGGGACCCCCGGGGGGGTTGCTCCTCCGGAGATGCTGCGGGTCCCCAAACCAGCAGACAGCAGACAGCCCCCCCGCCCCGCTCCCCCCGTCCCAAACTCTGGGCCTGCGTTTTGCAGCAGGCACCCCCCGAGGCCCCCACCCCGGGGCTCTGCCCACCCCTGCGCACCCGCGGAGCCCTGCGCACCCCCGTGCCCATCCCCCCCCCCCCCCCCCCCCCCCCACTCCCCTCCAGCTCCCGAGAAAAGCAGTAACGAAACCGAGCCTACCGGCACCGTTTCCAAGCCTGGCGAGATCCGGAGCCACGCAGGCACGACCCGGGTGGGTGTCCGAGGAAAACCCGACGGCTCCGCTCCTCCTCGCCCGCCGCGCTGCGGGGTGGCCCCGCTCGCCCCCCGGGAAGGGCCCGGCCCGGCAGCGCTCGGCCTCCAGCCCCGGGGCTCGGCTCTGCGCACAGCGAGAGAAAGACTTCACAGCATAAAAGAAGCGGAGATCCACGTCTGGCCGGGGCACCTCGAAGGGGGATTATTTCAAGGGGCCAGGCGGGAAACCTGCCTGGACCCGTCTTTGGGCACTTTTTTTTTTTTTTTTTTAGATGTGCAGCCCCAGAGGTTTCAATCCACCTTTCTCCTTTTTCTGCCCGATAAACCGCCCCCTAACATTTTTTTTTTTTTTTCTCCAGAGGGAGGAGAGGATAGATTTGTTTAAGCTTAATTTTTAAAGCATGCAACGTTTACACGGGTTGCTCGCTCCAAGCAGACCCTGCGGCAGGTTGGAGGGGACGGGGCCGCCCCGTCCCCCCGCAGCGCCCCGAGTCAAGTTCAAGATGGGCCCGTCTGGGGTCTCTCCCGCTCAGCAGAGGCGCAGAGCCCGTGACGGGGGTCCCAGCCCCCCCCCCCCCACAACCGGGGTCAGCCCGCGGTAAGGTCCCTGCGGTCCGAGGGGGATGTGGCTGTGGAGCCGCACGCCCGGGCTGGCCGCGCTTTTGGGGGGAGCAGCCGTCCCGTCGGGGCCACGGGTGTCTCCCGGTCACGGGGGGGGGGCACGGAGGTTTGCCAAAGGTGGGGGGGGGGGGGCAGTTTCCACCATCGCCTTGGCTGCTTGGGGCTCCTGGGTGGTGTCCGAGGAGGAGTTTCTCGGGTGAGACGGCTCTGCTCGGCCCCTTTTCCCTCCTGAGGACGGGGAGGCTTTTCTGCATCCTGGTCAGAAATAAAGGAAACAAATATAACGGAGAAAGTCCGGCGTGCCGCAAAGTCGTCCCAGGGCCCCGCAAGGCAGGCAGCCCGGTACCGGTCCTGCACGGCTTGCCCAGCCCCCCCAAAACACACACACACACACCCCCGGTACTCACCGTCGGGGCGGCCCCGCTGCCCCCGGGGGCTCCGGTCGCTCGGGAGCGAAGCCGCTGGACGGCGGAGGGCGGGGACAAAGGGACAGGAGAAAAAGCAGCGGCGAGGAAGAGGAGGAGGAGGAAGCTTCACTCCGCATCGCCAGCCCGAAAACAACAGCCCGGCCCCGGCGGCAGCGCTGAACCGGGCCCACCACGGAGGTCAAAAACGGCTCTTTCCAAAACAATAAACTTTTAATGCTAAAGCAGTTATAACCAAAAGCTGTACAGAGTTGGAATTTTTTTTTTTGTTGGTTGTATTTTTTTTTTTTTGTTAGAAAACAATTTTTTTTCTTCCCCATAAATATTGTTCAGTTCCCGGCACTTTGTATCAATAATTAAATTACGAACGATAAATATGGCATCATGGATATGTATTTACAAAAAAAGTTATTACAAAAAGGCAACTGTTATACTAAACGTCACAATCTGGGTAGCATAAACACCACATCCTCATCCTGAAAAATACTGACCGACCCCATCATACGAGAATACATTCACAAGTGTAATACTTGGAGAGAGAGAAGGAGAAAGAGGAGGACAGCAGAGAAAGAAGCAGCAGAAGAGCTAGAAAGTTCAAGACATAACAGGACTTTGGCACGGTTTAAGACTGTAAGTTTAAACAATCACCACTAAGGCGAAGGAGAATTTTCATCCTCATGTCAACATCCCACCGAAAGAAGGAAAAACAAAACAAATTAAAAAGGAAAAAAAGTGGGGAATCGGAGGAAGAGGGACTGGGGCAGGGAGGAAAATAAAAAATATCAAAGAAACGACTGCAAAAAATGACAACAACAACAGCAACAACAAAAAAAGAAAAAAAAAAAGAGATCCAATCCTGAGAAAAGGACATGGCTAGTCCAGCGTCTGGGCTTGCAAAAAATAGTAATAATTATAATATAATAATAAAAGACACCCCCCCCCAGATCCTGGCAGTTAACTAGGTGTAGCCCTATGCGGTCGTCGGTGTGGAAACTCCCTTTCCCTGGGAGCGAGCTGCAGTTGGCTTGGTTTGTCCATTTTTTTTTTCAATTTTTTTTTTTTTTTTTCCTTGTTCCCAACGCATTTGGTCCAGTCTCTGGCCGGGCAGCAGCTGCCTTCACACATACCACTCATTAAAATTGGGGGGCAGTCCAGGGTTGTGGCCGGGGTTACTCTGAAGGGCGGCCGGCGGTGTTTTAGTGGAGTCCTTACTGCCGGCGGAACCCACCGCAGGGGGGGTGGAGGACTCGTACCCCGAACTGGCTGCAGGGGAAGAGTCCGACCCCTGGGATTCATGCACCTAAAACCAAGAGGCAGAGATGGGAGCGAGCTCAGGGTCCCCGCCATCCCGCTGAGCCGGGTTGGGGTGCTCCCCACCACCCCCCTCACCCCCCCCACCCCCAATCCAGATGGGACACTGGGGTCCCCCTGCCCGCCAAGCAGGCGGTTCACGCCTTGCTGGCCACCCTGAGCACCGGTGGCAAGCGCCTGCCTCGGGCTGGTGGCCGCTCCGCTGCAGCGTCCCGGCGTGGGGAGCCGCAGCCAGAGCCCAGGTTGATATTTGCAGAATCCCCCAGCACCGAGCCACGCTCTGGAAACCAGCGAGCGTTTGCGCTGGTGGGAGCCCAAAAAATTAAGAGATTACGCCGTTTCCTCGGGCTGTGCTCCAGCCACGACAGCGGGGACGGCGCGGGCCACTCAGCCTGGCCCCGGCCCGGGGAAACGAGCCCTGAGCCCGCCAGCGACTGAGCATCCCCGCTGAGGGAGGAAAGGGCTGGGGCGCAGGGGTGATTACCTTCATGTGTTTCCTAAGTGAGCTGGGGTGGGTGTAGGATTTGTCGCACACCTTGCAGATGTAGGGCTTGTCCGAGGTGTGGACGTGCATGTGTTTCTTCCTGTCGCTGCTGTTGGCGAAGCGCCTGTCGCAGCCCTCAAACTCGCACTTGAAGGGCTTCTCACCTGTGAAATTCAGAGAGGGTGAAGGAGAGCCGTTCCCCTCTCCATCCCCGCCTGCCTCCTCCCAGGACATCCTCTGCCCCGCTCGCCCCACCTCGGGGATGCACAAGCACCACAAAAAAAAAAACAAAACAAAACAAAATGAATAGGAGGGGGGGGAAGACAGACAGCAGGGTTTGTTACATGACGGAGAAATTCGGGTCAGCCTTTATTACTTTTAATTCACCTCCCGCCAGGCCCGTGCTGGGCTCCGGCAGGGACGGTGGCTGGGTGAGCCCAGGGAGGGAGAAGACCCGAAATAAATTCGGTGGCTCGGAGAGTTTTACAAAACGGACTCGAGCATACAAGCCAAAATACGTTTGCTTCCTGCCTTCTCCCCCCCTCTTCCCTCCACCCGTGCGGAGGGCTGAAAGGAAGACGGGGGGCTGCAAATAAAAATACTTTTGCCAAACGGATCGCTGAGTTAATTAGGAGAGACGCCAATCGGGCCTGAAAATTAAATAAAAAAGAGCGAAAGTCACCGAAAATGAGATTTCCCTCGTATTTCTACGGTTCCCTCTGCTGAGGCGCGCAGGGGGCCGAGAGCCGCGGCCGGTCCGCGCGGGTCCGCGGAAGGCGTTAAACCCCCGGGGAGGGGGGGGGGTCGGGGGGGGTCCGGGCCTTACCTGTGTGGGTCCGCTTGTGAATCTTGAGGTTTTCGGAGCGGGCAAAGATCTTGCCGCAGCCGGGGAAGGGGCAGGGGAAGGGCTTCTCCCCCGTGTGCACCCGAATGTGGTTCACCAGTTTGTATTTCGCCTTGAAGGATTTGCCTTCCCGCGGACACTCGTCCCAGTAGCAGATGTGGTTGTTCTGCTCCGGCCCCCCGACGTGCTCCATGGTGACATGGGTCACCAGTTCGTGCATGGTGCTGAAAGTCCTGTCGCAGCTCTTCTTGGGCCGGCTGAGCTGGCTCTCGTCGAGCCACTTGCAGGACAATTCTTGCTTGATGGGCTGGCGCATGTACCGAAAGAAAGCCCCGGGGCCGTGGTGGTGATGGTGGTGGTGGTGGGCCGCCACGTTCATGCCCATATTCATGTTCATGGGGTTGTAGTTGTGGAACTGGGCGCCGGCGTAAGGGTCCGTGCGGGGGCTGGAGACGGCTCGGTAGGGATCCGGTCGCCCGAAGAGATCCCCGCGGAGCCCCAGGTGCATCTGCCCGTTGTCCACATGCCCGGTGGGGGACGTGTGGCTCGGGCTCTGCTCGTGGAGCCCCGGGAAGAGCAGGTAGCCCGGGGGGTCGGGGATGCCGCCGGGGCCGTGCAAGCCGCCGGGGGAGCCGCCGAAAAGCCCGTGTTGCGCCGTGCCGGAGCCGGCGTCCGCGATGCCGGAGCCGCGGTTGCGGAAGAGAAAGTCGCGGGTGGAGTTGAAAGCGGCGGCCCCGCCGTAGGAGGGCACCTGGCCGGCGTGGTGATGGTGGTGATGGTGGTGGTGGTGGTGGTGGCCCAGGGCGCTGGCGTAGCCCGGCGCCTGCGGCGTGAACGCCGAGCTCTGCCCGGCGGCGAGGTCGTGGGGGGCCGCGTTCAGCTTGAAGGCGGCGGCGTGCGAGGAGTCCCCGAAGGGGCCCAGCCCCACGCCCCCGCCGCCGCCGCCGCCGCCGCCGCCGCCGCCGTCGCGACCCGGCATCTCGTGGTGGCGGGGGGCCGCGAAGCCGCCCACCCCCAGCGCCGGGAACTGCGGCCCTCCGTCCAGCAGCATCGTCATGGGCGCGGGGGGGGGGGGGGGGCCGTCGGCGCGCCGGCACCCTCTGTGTGTGTCCCCCCCGCAACCCCTCGCCCGCCCCTTTAAAAAAGTACAAAACCACCCCAAAACTTCCCCCCCCCCCCCTCCCCGCCCGCCCCCGCCGGCGCGGGGCGGCGCGGCCTCCGGCTGCGGGTGGGCAGCGAGGCGAGCACCCCCCCGCCGGGAAAACAAACAAACACAAACAAATAAACAACCCACCCACCCACCCCCCTCCCCAAAAGCCACCCGGCCCCCGCCCCCCCCCGCCCCGGGCCGGGCGAGGCGCAGCGCGGCCCCGCTCCCGCTCGGCGCCGTCGGGGCACTGACGGGGCGCCCGCCCGCGCCTCGCACATAAACCGAGGCCGGGGCCAGGCCGCGCCGCGCCAATGGGGAGCCGCCGGCCGCCGCGTCACCTGACCCGCCGCCCGCCTTCCCATTGGCGGCGCGGCGCTTGATTGGCAGCGCGCCCCGCGCTGCCGGGACCGCTGATTGGGCGCGGGCGCCTCTCAGGTAAAAGCGGGAGGGGGGGGGGGGAGGTGGGTGGGCGTACAGACAGACACACAGACACACACACACACACCCCCCCTCACCACTCCACCGTGACGCGGGGGTACACGGGTGGGAAGCACCCGAAGGGCGGGCGGGCGGGCACCCACCCCCCCCACACTTCCTGCGTGGCCCTGCCCCCCACCTCGCACCCCCCCCGTCCCGCGTGTCCCGCCGTGACGCTCGACTACCCCCCCCCCCCCCCCCCCCCCCCACGCCGCGCGGGACGGTCGCGCTGGGGGACACGGCACACGCGTAACGCCGCGGCAAAGCCGCCGCGCTGCTTCAAAAATAAAACCCCGTTAAAACCCGACCCGGCGCCTTTGCGGTGACTTTCCCGTTCATTTTCAGTTCGAATTCTAATTTTACTTTTCGATTTATTTGCCCGAGCCGCGACTAACTTGCCTGTTCCGGGACTAACTTGCCCACCCCGAGTCCAGCCGCCTCTCCCCTCCCTCGCTCCACGCCGGGGGGGTTCCGTCCCCTCTCCCCCGAGCACTGCCCGGCCCGGCGGCTCCCACGCCGGATTTTTCCCTACACTCGTTTGTCCTTTTTTTTTTTTTTTTTTTTCCCCGTCTCTCTTTCTTCCCTCTCCCCCACCCCCCCCCCCTTTTTTTTTCCCCCCCTTCTTTTCTTTTTAATTTTATTTTGCAAAGGCAAAGTTCTGCCTTGGAATAATTATCAGTTGCAGACAGCGCTATAAATCCACTCATTTTCTGTTCTGGAAAGCATTTGCAAAGAACTATGGGGAGCAAGAGTGGAAATAAAAGGCAGAAAGAAAGATGGCTGTAATTGTAATATCCTGAGATTTGCTGAGCCCAAAGTCTGGCTATTGGGCAGGTCTCAGCCTCGCCGCCGGCTCTCTGCAGGAAACGTAAAATCTGATCAAGTTCAGAGGCGCATTGAGAGCCCGCTTCAAGCAGCGCTTTATAACCGCGGCCCTTTCACATCGTTCCCCCCAGTCAGCCTCGGGAAAGGCTTCGCATTCTTTATTTTAAGGTTTTCAGGGAGGAGAAAAAAAAAAAAAAAAAAAAAAAAAAAGAATAAACGGGGGTGGGGGGGGGGGAAAGCCACCGGTATAAAATCTCCCCGAGAGGTAACACCGGTGCCCGTCAAACACTCCAATTTCCCAGGCCACAGCCGCCCAGAACAGTCCCAAAGTTGGAAGGTGAGTCCCTCGCTGCCGTTACTGCGCGGTCGCAGCGGAACGACGAGAGGCGGGAGCGGGGGGGGGGGGACCCGCCCGGGGGGGCTGGGGCCGCCTCCGCTGCGCGCCCGCGCTGCGCCCCGCGGCTGTTGCGCGGGAGCGGGGGGAGCCGGCAGGGTGGGAGCCCGCTTCGAGGCGCGGGGGAGCCGGGGCAGGGCTGGGGACCCCCCCCCGGGACCCCCCCCCCCCCGGGGCTGCGCTCCCCCCTTCGCTGCTCCGCGGCGGCTCTACCTGCCCGGGTGCGGCAGGGGAAATTAATTACCTTCCGCACGTGTGGGGTTTTCTCGGTAACAACAGCCCTGGGGGTGTGTGTCGTGCCCCACTCCCCCCCAACCCCCCCCCTAAAAAAAAGGGGAAAAAAAAAAAAAAAAAAGGCATCATTCAATTAGCCCATCAGCTGAGCGCCGGGGAGGGCAGTGCCTCTGATGTCGCCGACCTGGCGCGACCGAGGGCGACTGACCTTCGTGTGCAGGGACCTGACATGTGGCATTGTCTGTCCCTAATGGGATGCGCTGGTGGCGGGGAGGCGAGTGGGCGCTGCCCGCCCCGGTGCCCACGCCACGCGGGGGTGCCGCCGCCCCGGCTCGCGCAGCGTGGGGAAGGACGGACGGACGGACGGACTGAGAAACGATTCAGAGAGAAGGAGCGAACGTGGCTCCACGGCGGGAGAGGCTTTCCAAAAAAAAAAAAAAAAAAAAAAGAATTAATTTGGTTTTTCGCTTGGAAAAATCCCCGCGCGGCGGCAGTGGCGGCACCGGGGGCTTCGGGAAAAGCATCTCGAGGGGGGTGGGAGGTGGGGGGGAGGGGGGGGGAAGCGATCGTAGGTTTGGACCCGCCGTTTTTTGGTGGCTTTGCAGGAAGCGGCGCCCGCAGCCCGGCCACGCCGCCCTGTACTTGCGGATCGGGCTACAGCAATTCACCTATAAATCTTTTTTTTTTTTATACGTTTCCCGTTTCTGACTCCGCCAACTCCGCCTGGGTGTGCGCGCCCAGCAATATCCGCACGGGCGTGCGGGCACTGATCCCACCCCACCGCTTCCCGCGTGGAATTTGTCGGCCCGGGGACCTAAAACGGCATAAAACGCGTTTATTTTTTCTTTTTAAAGGCATTGTCAGTGTGGCCTATGATGTTTCGTCCTCCTGCGCTTTCGTAATTAAAACAAAAAAACCTATAATATATTTTATACGTATTTTACCAGTTCAGTAAAATCCATTTTTATTCAGCGGTATTTCTGGCCGATCCCAATTTATTTTCCAGAGGCGGGGGAACATCACATCCCTCTCCTTTTTAAATCTATCTCAATCGCAAAAGTGCAAACAACAGCAACCGGAAAAGTAATCTTGCAGGCTCCCCTTCTCCCGTCGCGAGGGGAAGGCGGAGAAAGACCCCCTGTTTTACATCAAGAACAGATATTCATGTAATTCTCCTCCACCATCTACTTTCTTTCTTCTTTTTTTTTTTTTTTTTTTGACTTTGGGATGGTTTGGAAATCTAAGGGCCACAAAAAACGTGAAACCGCTGTGGGTCCCTCCGCGTCCGGAGCCCCGTGGGTGCACGGCTCCCGTGGGTGCCCCCCACGGTGCCGGACCAGGATGTCCCCGCCGGGGTTCTCCCCGGTGCTGCCCCCCAAACCTGGCTTGGGGGTCCCGTCCCAGCACCCCAGCACGGTGCGGGGAGCTCTGCCCGGGGCGGGGGAGACCGCAAAATCTGGGCCCTGCAGCACAGGAGGAAAAAAATGGTCCCCAGTGGGTGCCCACTCGTTAGGGCGGATTTCGCAGCGGGGCAGATGAAGTTTCGTCAACGGCCCCGGGAGCGGCGGCTCCGCGGGTTTCCCCCCGTCCCTTCCACTGAGGGTGCGAGGAAAAGGCAAAACAAACCCCGGGGAAACAGCAACAAAAATCCTGCGAGCCGGCCGGCGAGGGGAATATTTCATACGCCCTAAATAGCTTTTAAACCGCGCTGTATCGCGGATAAATGAATATCCCTAACAAGCGTAAAGACAAGTAGTTTTTCTCCTGCCATAAACATATTGCATCTCCAGTGTAATTAAATGCAAACCAGGAGCGAACGAGACATTTCCATTGTAGCTGTCACTCAGCGGAGGGGGAAGCACATGTACATTTGAACTTCAGAGATACGGGCTGGAGTAAACAGGTCTGAACTTCGGCAAGGGGAGGGGGCGAGGAGTATCAAAGGCCAGGCGGAGGCAAGCAGAAAGACCCGAGTGGCGAGGAAATGTAGGTGCCAGCGGGCTCCATCCTGCAGCCCGGGGGGCCGGGCCGGCACCGGCGTCCTCGCCCACGGACCAGGGTTTGTCGCGTGTTTGGTGGTGATGGGGAGAAGTTCCCCCCCTAAAAAAAAAAAAAATTAAAAAAAAATCACCGTTCAGCTGAGTGGGAAACACACGTCCGGCTCGGGAGCGAGTGGGAAAACCACGAGGATGAGCTATAGGTGCTGCAGAATAAATGGGTCCGGTCGGCGCAAAGGGGGTCGAGGAAAACTCCCGGGGCAGGGGACAACCCTGGGATCCCCACGCACCGGAGTGACCCCGGGGGGGAAGGCCACCCCCTGGGAGGGGAAAAAAAAAAAAAAACAAAAACAAAAACAAAAAAACAACAACAAAAACCAAACAACCCTGCAAAACCGTTCGGACAGGGCACAGTGCAGCCCCGGGAGCAGGCAGGGGAGGAAGCCGGGTCCCCGGCACCCCGGCCCGGCCGAGAGCATCCTCGCCCTCCGTCCGCCCCCTCGAAATCCGCGTTCCCCCCCCCCACCCCCCCCCCGCCTCCGAGGAGCGGAGGGGGTGGGGGGAAGTGGCGAATATCTCAATCAGCGAGGAGGTGACCTGTGACCCGGAGGGTGGCTCTATTGTCCCGCTCTTGCGGGGGACACAGACTTTAAGTCAGCCTTTCTGCGTGACTGAGCCCTGAGGGGCAACCGCAAGCCCCCGGGCTCCGGGGAGGCATCCCGGCCACGGGAACCGCCAGCCCGGCATCAGCTCCCGGGGCACAGCCGCCCTTTCCCCGGTGCACCGGGGCGGCTGCCCCCGATCCCTGGGCTGTTTCCGAGCCCTTAAGCCGAGCTCCCCGGTCCCCTCCTGCCCCTGGGCCTTTCCGCGGGGACAGGGCAGAACCTTCCCACCCGACGGCGAGCCAAGGCGGGCCGGGAGGTCCCGCCGGGTGCCCCTCGACCGTGCCCAGGCTGGGGCAATGATCTGAGGGGTCGACGTGGACAACGGGAGGGG